CAATTTCCCCCAAAAACAAACCACCCCCCCCCCCCCCAGCAGTAGTGATGTAAGACTGAGTGAAGGTGCCCTCTGCCAATCAGCGGCAAGGGACAGGGCCACCGCAAAATGCCTGTGAAATCAGGTCTGCCTGCTGCGAGTGGGCTGCAAAAGACCTTTCCTGTGCAAGAGAGCAAACATCATCACAGCTGTGATGCTCTATTTCACTTCTGGGCACTGGACCAGTCTAGGTTTCCATCAGTATGAGACAGCAAGCGGTTTGCCCAGGGAGGGGAAGCCTGCTGACAGTCTGTCTCAACAGCTCTGCTTTCAGTCCTTCTGTAAATTCCCTCCCATGCACACTTTCTTGTGTACTGTTGCAGGGCTCCTGAACCCCTTGGACAGCCCCCATCACCTGCGGATAGATGAAGACTCAGAATACCGGGAAGGGGTGGTGGTAGACCAGCCCACCAAGCCAGGCAAAGGCTCCTTTGTGGACTGTGGAATGCGGAAGGTAGGGCCCGCAGGCCCCTCAGGATAAACTTCTCCGTTTGCTTTGTAGTCACTCCTTCCAAGGTCTAGGCTCGCAATGGGTTAATGAGGGGTTATCACAAGAGCCACAACTTGCCATGGACCAGAACAGGTTAAAGCTGCCAGCTTCGTGAACCCGTCTTCTCTGGCCTCTGCTCTTATAGCACCCCCTGCTGGATGTTGGTAGAAACGCCAGCTCCTTTGAGCTTCCTGCAAGAGAGCAAACACCTTCATTGACCGTTTGCCCAAACTAACGTTTCCTCTGTTGTCCAGGTCCATGAACTGGAAATTCATCATTGTCCACGGCAACTGTTCTAACCTCTTTGACCCGGATTGTATCTGGGTGATTTGCTGCTACACAAAACAAGTATCTGTCTGCACACATGCTACACTGGGCTGGAGTGTGTCTTGCTGAAATGTGATCTTTCTTTGCCTGTTACCTTTCTGTGGCTGGCTATCCTGATTTTTAATACTTTGTGCTGTGGTTGTCTGTTATTCTAGCGGGTGCAGATAGACAAACAGCTTGAACCAGGCCTTCGAGTCACTGTTCAACTAGATCAGCACCACAATCCAGGTAATGTTGTCCCCCTGCCCCAGACAGGCTGACTAGGTCACACTACCCCTGCAATCTGCAGCATAATGTCAATTCTGCAGAATTTTTTCTTGGTCCTGGACTACCTCTGCCTTGAAAAACTGTCTGATGTGAGTCACTAGCTGTCTTTTCCTTTGTTTAAGCAACAGATAGAGTAAACCTTCCTCCAGACTTGTGGCCCCGCCACTCAGTTTCAGTTATTCATCTACTGTGTATTGGTACTTAAAAGAAACGGTATGCTCATCTGTTTATTAAGACATGAACAGTGCTGAACACACCAAGTCTCCTCTAGGCATTTGTTAATAAACGTGAAGGATGCTGCTTGTTTGTTCATTGAGTTATTGCCTCAACTTTTCCCTGCCCCTTATAAAAATGCTAGAGTGGGACACATGGGGTTCCCAACTGACATCCAGTAGTGTCTAGAAGATGACAGAAGATAACCCACTTGTATCTCTTTCAGATTGCAAGACAAGGAAAGGCACAGTAGTGTCCTCGCACCATCCAAGAACTGTGTCCGGCCTATACTGGGGTTACAGTGTCCGGTTAGCCTCCTGCCTAAGTGAGTACTTGGCCTGTGCTCTCTGTCACCCTCTGTTCTGGCTGGGTCAGGAGCACCAGATTCCCTTCACCTAGTCCTGAAGCAGCAAGGCCTTTAGTGCCCCAGTTTCTCATGGATCCTGAGAACTCCTATTCCACTTGGTCAGTGGGAGCAAGCAGACATCACCTCCCAAAATTTAAAGAACCCTGGGCTAGGCTCCAAAAATATAAGACTTGAAAGCTGACATAATGTGATCACTGAATCCAGACAGATCCAGACATCCCTCCTGCTCACTAACTAATGACAGTTCTGGGGCTTGCTCCACTTTTTGGGGGAGGTGGTAGAGTTGGGAGCCTTTCTTTTGATGGACTACAAAGGTGGGCTGGGGGTGCAAAAGATGAGTCTTTTACACTAGATATTAAAGTAGAATGATTGTTAAACTATTAGGGACAGCAGCACAGTTCTCACTGCTCTGCAGTCTGTGTGGTAAGTACTGGCCTCTGTTTAAAACCACCCAGAATGGAACATTTAGCATGTAGTTTCATTTTCCTTAATGCTTCTTTTCCAGGTGCTGTCTTTGCTGAATGTCCTTTCAAAGAAGGCTATGACCTCTCTGTTGGAACGTCAGAGAAAGGGACCTGTGTGGACCAAGCAGTTCTCCCCTCCTTCAGGTAACTGGACCAGCTCCCTTACACTAAATGAGCTCCAAGTAGTGAGGAGCCAAAGGTTTCTCACTTGCCAGAGCCAAACCACATCCTGGTCCGTTCTGCAGGATGGATCCTCTAATCCAAGTTTGTCAGCGTTAATGACTGGACAGTTTTGCCATATGTCACTGTGCGGCAGTTAGGGCTGTTTTTTGCACTTGCCTGCGTGGCAAGTTTTGGTTCCATACCAGTCTTTTATTCCCATTCTCTACCTGAAATAGTAGTGGTGTTTGTGACTGATGGTCCAAGAAAGCAAGGTTTATTGCTTGGTCCTGCATGAAGCAAGGTTTATTTTGTATTGTCTTTTATTGGATCAACTCTACAGCTGGGAGAGACATTAGTAAAACTTTCAAGCACAAAGTGCACTTCCTTAGGTCTGGAAAAAAAGCAGTTGCAGACTAAGCTACATGCCAGTCAGCAAATTACATTGGTTTAACACCACTGCAGTAATGTAAATGATCACTTAAACTGGGAAGTGGACAGTAAACTGATGGAGGACAGGTTATCAAACATAACTGCAGACCAACTAAGGAGTAGTTACTGCAGATAAACTTGCATGAATGATATCATTTAAAGGGGAAGAAGACTGATACTTCCTGTAGAACAAAATGAAGTTGTCAGAGGGGACCATAAAACCACTGTCTAAGTCTTTTTGTTTGGTTTCTAGTAAATCTTACTGGGAGTGCTTGCTACCTACATAACTTTTCCCTGAATTATTCAGATGCATGGTGTGTCGATCGTGGTGTAAACCAGCTCCTTTTTACCATGCCATTTGTGCTAAAAAGCAGCAAATTGCCTTTTTGTTCAGTTGCGGCAAGGGGAGATGCCTTGGGCAAAGCTGTAGCTTCCTCTGACTTGGTACTGCTGGTAAGATCCTGTCTGAGTTGTCTGCTGTCTTCCAGACATGCCCTGATAGTATTTGGAGGTCTACAAGGATTGGAAGTGGGTGTGGATGCTGACCCAAACCTGGAGGTCAGTGACCCGAGTGTCCTGTTTGACTTTTACTTGAACACCTGTCCCAGCCAGGGCAGCCGCACCATCAGGACTGAGGTGAGGTGCTTCAATAAATAGCATAGTGATCATTTTACACCTGGGTAGCAACACCCTCTCACCTGGTTATGGATTAAGTGATCAGTGCCTAGTCATAAAAGTGGTACTGCTAATATGTACATTCTCTCCTTAAAGAAGTGCTTTAAAAGCTCTGAGTGCAGCATTAATGAAGAATCTAAAATGTTATTTCTGTTGCTGCATCACAGAGGAGCCCTCACTGTGGACCAGACCCCATTGTGCTAGGAACAAACTGCCCCTCCCCATGACAGCTTTTCCACTAGGCTAGGCAAGGGTAGTATTTCTGTATCTATTGGCAGGGTTTTGTACGCTTTGCAGGGGGAACTGTAATCCTTAAACCAATAGCCACTACTTTTGCGTGTATTAATGATTCAGGCTGAAGTTCTGCTCTTGCACTGAGCAGTGATTCTAACTTAGTCTCTGGTTTTGCCTCTAGGAAGCCATACTGATCTCTCTATCTACACTGAGACCCCGGATCGACGAGGCTGTGAAGAAGCCACTGGCTCCTGAAGGAAAGCAAGCTGGTGATTTATGAAATGAGAACCTGCCTCCTCGTACTGCTCCTGTCTTGGAGATGGACTGCTGCTCATTTAGTTTATTCTAAGGACTAGAAGCTGGGAGCTATAGGTAGTTTCCAGATTGTTGGAGGCTAACAAAAGTACAATGTAAATAAAAGCTACATCTTTACTGAGTGACAGTCTCATACCAGAAGCAAGCAATATAACTTTAAAGTCGCTGGAGCCATCAGAAGCCTGAGCTCTTGAACCTAGGCCATGCTGATAAGTGGAGCTGGCTGGCACTTTAACAGGGAAAGTCCATTGGTGAATCACTAAGCAGCAAAAATGTTTTGGGACACGTATGAAAATCTGCACTGGACTGAAGAGTCGGGGTAGTACCCACAGAGTCTGTGGATTGAAATTAGTGACTCCCATTGATCTTTCAGAGCTGTATTTCTTAAGCACCTCTACAGACTATGCATCTTGTTTTTAAAGGCATTACATGTCTTTTGAAAGAGTAACACCTAGGAAGGGCATGGCTTTCTAATGCCTCCTGTCACTGATGGCTATCTTCCAAGTGGCTGAGTTCTTGTAAAGCAGAACTGTAACTTAACTCTTTGCACTCACCTCTCCATACTTAGGTCAGTATGTCAGTTTAAAATTCTGGAGATGTAGGCAATGCAAAGAAGTGCCCAGGCATCTGTAGCAGTAGATAGGACTGCTTTAGGTGACAAGTCCTCAGTAGTGCTACAATCCAGGCGGGGGGGAAGATAGCTAATCCCACTAACAACATAGCTAACTGCTGCATGTAACTGAAGAGAGTTGTTCAAGGCTGTCCACACTTACATTTGGGGCTACAGTACTGCCTGTGGGTACATCCCACTTTGCTACAGCAAAAATGCTCCTTTTATGCTCTTTACAGGTATTTTCTGGCTCCCTTAAAAGAGATGTGAGGAGCCATTCAGCCCTTAGAAAATCCTTAAAGGAGCTGTTCAGGGTAAAATCTAATCCTTATTGCAGAAGTCTGCTGTTATAGAAGGCAGTGCTTTTATGCCAGAAGCTTTTGGATATCCACCAGCACCAAGAGCTGGGACATGGTACAGTTGCCTGAAGATGGAAGAGCATCATCCTTCCTGGTGGCACTTGGCTCCATAGCTTTGAAACAATGAGCCTCAGATAACCTAGTTATGACAAGGGCAGTCTGAGTTTACTAAACCTGCAGCCTTAACATAGCAAAGACAGCAGACTGCAAGACAGTTGGAAAAAAAGCCCTATCCACAATTATTTGGAAACATAATGCCCAAAGTAAAACATTTTGTAGTTTAAAAGTTTTATTCACAACACCTGGAAGTGGACTGAACCAGCCACATGAAAAAAACCAAACAGATAAAAATCAAATCAATACCAGGTAACGAATGGCTCCTTGTACATCTCACATTTAAATCCCAGAGCTCAGCAGGAGTATTTCTCACTACCGTCCTCTTTTAAGAGTTAGTAGTTAGAGGGCTTTGCAGGCAAGTTGTTTACACACTTCCATGGAGCCACATATCTGGGTGTTTGGCAGATTTTGCCCTGCAGTTTTACTGGAAATGCTCCAGGAGCCATTTCTAAGGGGCAAGCACAGATGCTCATCTTCAGCATTTTAATTTTGCTGGAACCTGGAAACAGCAGATCAGTTATTCTGGGCCACTGATGAGTTCCTAGTACCATTTTAATACCTGGGAAGGGGGAATAAACTCATACAGACGCCTGCTAGTTACATTAAGTCTTTTCCAGTACTACCTCAGACCAACGGCAGACAGTGGTTCACAGAAGATTCATAGCTGCCTTCAGCTCTTGCTTCCAGCTGTAATGGTTTTTAAGGTATTTGTTCTTTTCAAGATGTTTGGTACAAACAGCAGCCCTGATGCCCGCTCAATGCTCTCAACAGGAACCAGAAAATGTTCAAGTGGGATCTTCTCATCCACAGGACTGTTGGGCATTACATAGGAGCGCAGCTCTATCTCCCCGCTGAGCTTCTCTAAGATGAGCACTTTGAAGAAGTGAGTAGGGACTGCCACATGGTTCTTCCCAATCACCTGGTACTTGACATACATCTTCCCATCCGCTTCCATCCTACACAGAGAGATGTTCTGTCATTGATACCACTTAGCTAGTGCCCATGTCCACAGATCCCTGCTTCAAGTATTTTAGTTCGTTGTAGCTGAGATCACGCCTTGCATGGACTGGAGGACAGGACATGTGGGGCTCTATGATAGTGATCCGTGTTGCTTACTCTAAAACTTCCATTTAACTGAACCTCTTCAAGAGACTGATGTTGCTAGATGAAGAGTCTACAGGCACTTGCCCTTCATGACTACGCCAGGTTGGAAAGGCAGCCCACGCAGGAGGACACAAGTGGCAAGGGAAAAGCTAATATTGCCTCTACTTGTGCAAGATGACTGGGCTATGAAAAATGATGCAAGATGAAGAGGAAATGTAACCTAAGTAAAGTGGAGAAAGTAAGAGGGGAGGGAATGTAAATCAAAGAGGAGTTTGGTCAAGAGGCTGATGGTTCCTCTGTGTGACATCCACCTATTTTTATCGCGATTTAATCCTACAGAGGACAACTAAATGGAATGATGGATAAGTTGATGTGAATCATACTGGCCTTTTGTACTGGCCTACAAAAATCGCTCTACCCTTGAAAAGCATGGGAGGAGAGTAAAAATATTGAAGAGGACTCCCTACAAACCTCTTGCATAGAAGCATGGTTAAAGTCTTATCTTAATTTCAATTTTATTTTGATATTCCTGATTGACTGAAGTTTTAAAGTTGGTTTCAATTTGTCTGATACTTACTTGGGCAGGAAGAGAGGGCCAGTGCAGACATACACGTTCTTGTTGTACTTGGTTAAACTCCGGCAATATTTTTCCAGGTTATTCCAGGCATTTTGGTTCAAATGAGGATCCTGGAAACAAATCATGATGGATTCTTAATTGTGGTAAAACACCCTGAAATCTTTATTTTACTCTACCATTCCTATGTTCTCAGCTTCTCCTATAAGTTTGTACATAGCACTTTTCATCAGTAGGTATTTTAGTGCATTACAAAGGCATTATCTGCATTTTCCAGATGGGATAACAGAGGCAGAGATAGGTGAAGGGACTTGCCCCAGGTCACCAGGCAGAGTCAGCAGCAGAACCATGGACAGAACCTGTAAGTTTCAAGGACTCTACTCGCATGTTCATCTTTGTTCATAAAAACATAGGGCTGGAAAGGGACCTGCAGGCCAGAGGCCAGTCTCCTGCCGCTGCAGATCATGAAATGCATTAAATCCAAAAGGGCCACAGCAGTGTCCCACAGCTCGCCACCCCCTTGCATCATATAATCAAGCTGCCCTACTTAGTGTAATGTCCCACTTGAATAAAGCAAAGCACACATGGGTGTTTTTATAGGACCACGGACTTAGTCTGCTAGTAAACTGAACTGGCACTCAAATTACTTTGCTTATGAGTAGTGATTTTCAGCCAGGATCCCCCCAACTCCTCTGAGGGGTGCTGCAGGATGTCAGGAGATCAACAGATAATCTAAATAGAAAAACACAGGCTCAAGCTTGTCCCTGCAGAAACAATCATCTACCTCCATTGGCCAGCCCCTCTGCAATATAAAAATGGGGGTGCCATTCAATTCAAACAAGTTATGAAAGGAGCCTCACATCTAAAAAACACTTGAGAACCACCGGCTTTGAGGATTCTCTCTTTTTGCAGAGGCAGTTTGGTCAGTCCTCTGTTCCTTAACCAGTCTGGGACTCAGAAGAACTACTCTCTGCTGTGACACAAGCTTTCCTATGGTTGTGGAACCACAGCTGCAGAGAAATAGAGTAAAAAATACTTCCTTGCCACCGTAGGTGACTGGTAGGGGGGCCCCCTGAGATTGGCCCCCAAAAGTGTTGGGGGGCCTGTTTTGCTGAGCAGGCTGGCAGCATGTTGTGGGGGGCACTAAGCCACAGCATGTGGGTCCAGGCCCCTCCGGCCCCCGAGAGAGCTTTTGGCCCACCCTGGGGCCTGCCTACAAATTGTGCCCCTCCAGACTCAGGAGGCACCAGTCACCCATGCTTGCTACAAAGGAGTGTGACAGCAAACCCACTAAAGACTGCACACACTTAAGGTGTAGGATTGCAGGGCTACAGCCATATAATTATATGACTATGGCTGTGTCAGGATAACAATATAATTATACTGCTTTGGTTCTGCCTGTAAATTACCTGGCCTAGAACCTGTAGGTATCTGCTCCCTGCAGGCAGAGATTTTATGGGTCTTTCACATGAGGAAGCTTTGCCGTTCAGGACCTTGCGTGGGCCTGCCCTTGCACACGTTGTCACCAGCATCTGAAATCCTAACCCATCTCACTGGTATCATTCTAACCCTTTGCAGTTCATTAACTATAACCTCTATGTCCTGTTTCTGAAGTGGGTGGGTCATAGACTGTTAGACTAGAAGGGACTGTTCTGATCTTTTCATCTGAGGGCCCATGTTAAACAGGCCCCAGAACTTTAGGGCAGTGGCTTTCAAACTGGGGTCTGCAGACTGTCTTAGGCGTCCATGAAGGATGACTGTGGTCAATCAAAAATATGCAAATACCCACACTTACAATTCAAAGGGGTCTGCACCTTCATTCAAAATTTCCAAAGGGGTCCGCACCTCTGTTAAAAAATTTTGTAGGGGCCCACACATGAAAAAAGGTAAAAACCACTGAACTAGGATATTACACCCTAGCTCAGACTTGGATCTCTCCCACTGCAACCGACTTAATTGTGTGTAGCGGCATCATCTAGTAATTCACAGCAAAATGTGGGCTTTAGGCTGAGTAGTATTAATAGAAATATTAAAGCAAAAAAGTAGCAGCCACTGTCCTGCAGTGTTTGCAGCCAAGTGCTCCAGAAAAGGACTAACATATGAGAAAGTTGCAATGACTTGGTTTCACTGTCCAGGCTGCGTAAATGCAGTTTGGCCATACGGATTTCTCCTGGGTCGGGGGTTGGTAATAACAAAATGAGGTTTTAACACACATCATAGCTGTGCGAGCAATCAAAATGCTTTGGAGAATGAAAAACACGCTGAAGAATGAAGCTGTCATTCTGGGACATCCATCGCTTTGGTGGTTACAGACCAGCTTGTTTCTTGGGGGTCCCTACAATACAGTTTACCCAAAGGCAGTCAGGGAAGTTAGCAAAAAAACATGGTGGGACAAATGCTGAGACGGCCTTTCACAGTTAGGGCAGCAGCTGCCAGGACCCCAGGGCTTCTCCAGCGTCTGATTATGGGGTAGCTCTTACTGCTGGCAGAGTGGGATCTTGGCAAGAGAGGAGGGACACAGTCAGGATAACCTCCCCCCAGCAACTAATGTTCTGAAGGATATCATGATTTTTAAGCCTCATGATTTGCAAGGGTGGGGGGATCTAGGTCAGTGGTTCTCAACCTTTTTTGTACCAGGACCTATCTGTAAATGTCAATGGCCAGTCCTGACCCAGTGCCCCCAGTCACCTCCGTATGCGGGGCAGGGGGTGGGTGTGTGGGGCATGGGTCGCCCCAAGCAGCCCCTTGCAGGAGTTGTGCCAGCCTGCAAGGGAAAAGCCAGATTCACACATTTTTCTCCTTTAAAGGAGAATCCATTTTTGAAGTGTGTTGATCCCTTTGTAAAGTTTGTTTGTAACCCTTTCATATACTCTTGAGACCCACTTTTGGGTCACAACCCACAGGCTGAGAAATACTGCTCTAGAAGGCCGCTGCTACACCTTACCGATATTGCTCACTTCTCTGGTGATCAGCACAATACACTGAGTAGCCATATGTGCAAACTAAGATGGGCCACAGATGTAGTAACTGGTTAAGCACGCAATACATTTAAACTGGCCACGCGTGCAAAGGAAAGATCACCCGATAAACCCCACTATCCAGCTACCAGAGTCAACCTGCTATAAAGCTAGTGTTTGAAAATACAAAGTAACAACTCTACTCCTGGTTTGAATCCAGCTGGGAGCTGGGCTCTATCAGGCTCCAGCCACACCTTACATAGATGGTACAATTCACTGCTGAATCGCGCTATTTTAGGCCAGCCCCGCGTGCAAAGAAAGATGGGCACAAATGCAAAGCAAGGAACACGGAATTAACTGGTTCACTGTGCATTACATTTAGACGGGCCACGCATGCAAAGGAAAAGTCACCGGACAGACGTGACTATCCCGCTACCAGAGCCGGCCTAATATAAAGTTAGTGTTTTACCCGGGGGCTGGGCCCTAGTCGGCCCTGCACAGGACACGATTCATGCCGGCAGCCACGTGTGCTAGGCAACAAAGCCCAGCAAGAGCCGCCGGCTGCAAGTTAGAGAGCAGCAGCGCCGGGGCTGGCGCCTGCGCCGCCCGTGCGAGGCGGGCTACCCCCGGGACCGGGTTCCGGGCGGTTCGCGGGCACCTGAGGCGCAACGTTGCTGAGGTAGAAGGTGTCCTGCATGGCGGCCTGGCTGCGGCGGTGGTTGGCGGCGGCGGCCAGGTGCCCGCGCTGGAAGCCGCTGCCGCGGTAGTCGGCGTTGGTGGCGCGGTGGTACTCGTGCACCACCTCATCCTCGCGGAAGGCGCAGGCACCGCGGGCGGCCGGGCCCTGCAGCCCGTCAGCGTCCAGGCGCTCCAGCACCCAGAGCGCGCTGCGCCCGCGCGGGTCGTAGGCCAGCACGTAGGACTCGCGGCTGCGCAGCTGCGCCAGCCCCGGCAGCCCGTACTTGGCCAGCTC